ATAAAGCACAAGAAGCACCACCACTTTGCCATTGCGTTTATTGAACACACAGTTCTCATCCGGACATTGAGTGAACCCGTATGACTGGATCACCTCATCAAATTGGATGTTCCAAGACCTCGAAGCCTATTTCATTCTATAAATTGACCGATTCAACTTGCAACCTAGATGCTCATATCTCCTTATGATAAAACCCTCTAGTTGCTGCATATAGATGTCTTCTTGAAGACTTCCGTTAAAGAAAGTTGTCTTAACATACATTTGACATATCTCATAATCCATATGACTGGCTACAACCATGAGAATCCGAATGGACTTAAGCATGGCTACTGGTAAACAGGTTTCCTCATAATCGATCCTTTCTTTCTGAGTATACCCTACCACAACAAGCCTAGTTTTAAAGGACTTAACTTTCTCATTCGATTCTCTATTTCTCTTATTGATCCACTTGCATCCCATGGGTCGTACCCCACTGGGTGGTTCTACAAGATCCCAGACCTGATTGTAATCCATTGACTCCATCTCATCTTTCATCGCACCTTGCCATGATACTGCATCATTCTCCTGGAATGCCTCATCAAACGCCCAAGGTCCGACTCTAGTTCACTCGAGACTGAGTTCGATGACTCTTCGAGGAACATAAATCGGTCGGGTTGTCTCATAACCCTCCCACTGTGACAAAGTACTATATGCACTAGTACACGCTCAGTGTGATGTGTTGCAGCATTATGTCGTGTGTTTACTTGCGCACTCGCTGCGAGACTATCAACTCCACTCCCCAACTCCTTTAAGACAAGTTTACTTGCGGGCATGTGGTTCATAATAAAGTATTCTTAAAAAAATCTAGCGTTCGTGCTAACGATCACTTTCTTATCCTTGGGACTATAAAATAATCCACCTCTCATTTCTTTGGGGTAGCCAGCAGACAACCGTACTTTCGAGCGCTTTTCCAATTTGCCAGCCTCCTGCACCAGAACATGTGCAGAGCTACCCCAGATTCGAATACGTGAAAAACTAGGCTTGTGCCCTTTCCACAATTCATATAGAGTAGTCTCAACTGACTTCGATGAAACTAGGTTTAGGATATACGATGTTGTATCTAGCGCCATTCCCCAGAACGAATTTGGTAACATTGAATAACTCATCATCGACCTTACCATCTCCGTAACAGTTTTATTCCTTCGCTCTGCAACCCCGTTTTGGTGGGGCGTGTCGGGTGCAGTCATTTGGGATTAAATTCCAGCCTCTGGTAAGTATGTCTTGAACTCTCCTAAGAGGTATTCGCCTCCTCGATCAGATCGAAGTGACTTGATACTCTCATCGTGAAATTTCTCCACAACTGTCTGATACTCCTTGAATTTCTCAAAGCATTCGGACTTGCGGCATTAGGTATGTTGGGTTCTAAGAGGACGTCGTCGATATGCACATTCGAATCTATTAAAAATAAATTCTAACGCAGTGGAATCTATAGTTAAGATTAGGACATACAATTTAAAATGTTTTCGGACTCTGACACGTTTCTGATTTCCGCTGTTGGAAATCGACTGAAACTCTGAGTCCATTGGGCAGCCAGACTTGACCTCGTCATCACGTCTCTAGTTGCTCGTCGGATCGTCTCAGACCTTCGGTAAGTTAGTCCGACCGCTTGGGACTCGCCGTGGGCTCGAATTAGGTGCTAAACCGCTCCTGGAATGGTCTAGATTGGGTCTGGACTGGACTGGATCGGGTCTGGGTCGGACTGGATCGGTTCTGGTCACTGGAATGCGGACTGGCAACGCACGAGATTGGGCCTGCACAGGTCGGTGGACTCGAGGAATGCTTTGTTGCTTGCATTCGTCGCACGCGCGGGCACTGCTGTCGCCAAGACATGTCGCGCAGGGGCTCTGCGGGTCGCGAGGAGTTTGCGGATCCCGCTCGGGGCACAGGGGTGAGTTGCGGGTCGCGCGAGGAGCAGGCGGGGAGCGTGCTGGGAACAAGGTCATGCACGAGGATGAACTAGATCACATCGTTGTTGTGCGCGGTTGTGCACGGGCGGTGCTACGGCGGCGCGTGGGGCTCCGGCACCAGCGCGTACGGTTGCNCACCATCTCCAATCAATCTTTTGGAGCAATTAATTGGATCTTCCAAAGACTCTCGATTTTCATCTCCTATGACCTCTGAGTTTTATTCTAATTTTCTAATGAAGGGAACTCTTATTTTCTCACAATTTTGGACGTATGAAAGTTGATCCATGCTTGTGGATTCAGATCTTAGGCGTATGGAATTATGACCTTTGAGGCTTGGAGACTTGGTGTATTTATATGCTATAATAGGGATCATAAGGAGGTGCTAAATATGGGCTTCTTCACTTAGGATTAGGAAACCTTATATCTTCCAACTTATTAACCTTCTAGAAGTCCTAATGCCTTCCAATTTAGTTACCCTTATAGAAGACCCCATGTCTTCCAAACTTAATAACATTCTAAAAGACATTAAATCCTTCTACTTAGGAAAACTCTAGAAGACAATTTAATTCCTATTCCTTATTTGAATAAATGATCAAATGTTCCATTAGAGTAATATTATTGATCTCCCCATTTAGCTCTAAATTACAATTAATTCATCTCCCGACTAATTGCTTGATCTACCTCCCCATTCTTAACATATAATGTACATTGATTAATTTACCTCAAAAGAGCTCTTGTCTGGAACTAGGTCACTCTTTAATATAGGCCAGAAGTGTGGAAGAATAATGTTATCATCTCACCCTCACCTGATGGCTTATGATTCAGACTGAAAGAAGCACATTTGATATGGTCTTCCTCCACTGACCGCAATAATTCCTCATTCATCTCCTGACTCACTATTGATGGAATCAATCGCAATATGTCTTCTCCTGAATTACTCCCTTCAGAGGTAAATAAGCTTTGTAGAACTCAGTAGTATGGTCTTCAATTTCCTCAAGTGTCTGGTACACTCGGCCTCCCTCATCTATCAACCTAGAAATAGCATTGGGCTTCCTTATTTGCATAGCATAAGCACGAAAAATTATGTTATTCCTTTCTCCCTCCTTCAACCACAATGTTCTGGCCTTTTGTTGCCAAAATTCTACTTTTGAACATTGGGCTTTTTCAAGTTCCTTCTTCTTAGCTTCCCAATTCTTTCCCTACCCTCCTTTCTCATTTCCTACAGTTGCAGAGAAAGGCTCTCCTTCTTCTCTAATCTTAGATTTCTGAAATATTTACTCCACAGCAGCATAGCTATTCTGGTCTTCTTCGATTTCTCTTTGACTTTGAACAAAGGAGTCCCTAATTGCTCACTGTTCCAGGCTTCCTTTACCACCTCTCCTACTCCTTCCTCCTTTGAGCCATCTTTTATCAAGCTGGAATCTTCTATGTCTCTTTGAAATGTGAGAACCAGTATCCAATAAGAGTAGAGCATGATCCGAAGTTGGTTTATTAATCTTTAAAGTTGAAACATTTGTAATTTGAGCTAGCAATCATAAAAGCATAAAGTTCCGTCCAATTTCTTCTCTATGAATCCTTCCGGCTCTCTGTTATTACCCCAAGAAAAAGGATACCTTTCTCCTTCTCCTCTAACTTCAATCATCCCCATGTTGGCTATGAAGTTGTTGAAACCTGCAAAACTCTACCAGCCTCTCTTCCTTTCCCCCTTTTTTTCCTCCTCATTGCACAAATCGTTCCAATCCCCTATGATGAACCACTTAGAACCCCTATTCTTTTTCTCTTTTTCCAAAGCTTCCCACTGTTGTTCTGTGATAGCTTTAACTGTACTTAAGTAGACAAACAGCCCTTAAGAACTCTCCCCTTCACCCTGACATTTGAATTCCACCACAATGAAGAACTGTAAATAGACTACTGGCAAAATTTCTATATCCCTCTACCAAAAAAGAACCAGACCTTCACCTATAGAGTCAACAGAAAACCACCTTTCATCAAAACCTAGCTTCCTAACTAATCCCCTTATAAACTCCTTTTTATGTTTTGTCTTAGATAAGAAAAATAAAGTTGGGTGGTGGGTCATTAAGGAGTTCTTAATTTGCGGAACTGTATAGGGCCCACCCAGCCCTATACAGTTCTACCCCGCAACTTTTATTGTTCACTTGGGAGCCACTCGAGGCTGGCCTCCCCCACCTGGTTTTATGAGATCTTCAACATCTTGCACTCTACTATCTCTATCCCCCAACCCTCCTCTCTAACAGCTGACAACTGGTCATCCTTCCTATTCCTCTTCCCTCATTTAACATCAGCCTTTATAACTGCATGGCCTTTGTTTCTACCTAACCTTCAATCTCTGGATTATTCACTTCTTCATGTATTTTGCTTCTTTTCCCCACTATTTCTAATGATTTCCTGTTGGTCCTCTATACAAACCTCCTCAACCAAACTCCCCACCACCTCTAATTCCATCCCTTCTACTATTGAATTCAGAGGACTGGATTCATAAAGCAACATCCCTTCAGCTGGGATTTTTACTTCCAACACTTCTTTTTTCCTTTGCCATTGAAGTTTCTTACTCGGGGCCTTTATTCCACTTGGTCAATTGCCCCATTTCTTCTAACTCATAGTTTTCATTTTCCCATACTTGAGGAAGCCTTCACAACCGTCTCATTCTACTGCCTGTCTTGACCCGAGGATCCTGAATTGCTTACCTCCATCCAGTGTTGTCCATCACTCGCTCTCATCCATTCTCCGAATTACCCCTCCAAAAACACTTCTTTTTCTATATCCTCTAGTCTTTTAGAGCATCCCTTGTCTAAATGCCCCAACTGCCCACAATAAAAACATAAGCTCACTAGCTTTTCATATTTAAAAGTTCCACGCACCTGTTGCTCCCTCAATCTGATTTTGTTACATTTGGGCAGTGCTTCTTTCACATTCACTGAGACGAGCAGTCTGATCATTTTTCCTCCGCGACTCCCTACACTCACCACCACCACATTCTTTACCTTGTTAAAAACTCTGTCTATCTTCAACCCCACTGCTCGATTGGCAAAGGTATGTTGTGCACTTGGACCCACATCTTTAACTTCTTCGAAACCTTTGTGGTTGCAACTCATTCCCTCTTGCCACTCTGGAAGTATGATATGCTTGTTATCGAAACTCCAATTCGTTCCCGATACCACCTTTTATCATGTCTTCTTTGTTCTGAAAAATGAATTGGAAAAAATTGAAACCCAATTCTTTGACCTCGAGTGATTGTTGTATCCTCCGAATTTGCCCCATCGTTCTTTTAATACCGATCCAGCTCGCCTTTTTTTTTTCCTCTATAATCTTGCCGAATAAACTCCTCTTGCACTCCTCACTAGCTTTTAACATCGTTCGTTCCTAGATCAATGACCGCATCTTCCTTGGCAGATAACGTGAAGTTCCGCAATTTATTCGCCATCTCTTCTTCCATTTCCTTCCGAACCCACAAACCCTACGAACCCTAGTCCTTCAAACCTCCTATTCCCCCAAACCCGCTTGAAACAAACCCCTAAAATACACGGATAGTTGCTGCAATATTCTCACGGTGAACATCCAACTCCGATAAAAAATTGTATCGCTCTCAATCGAGAGAATTTGGAAGGAAGGACATAATTTTTACATGGTATCTAATCAACAAACGCATCTTGCAATTGTTTATTTTCTGCGTTAGATACATACACCTAAATTCATACTCCGCAACATTTACATCAATGGCGGCGGCTCGCGACCGAGTTTGTCGACCGTTTTTTCGAGCCGTAATCTGTTACCCTATGACGGCACAAACCCGCCGCCGGTTTCACGATTCTTCATCTGCATCAAGTGATGGCCCTATGCTCCAGAAGCTTCTGAAAACGCCCATCTCAAGACTCAAAGCAACGCTCGAATCTGAGTTCAGCGACGACTCAACCGAGTTCCCTTGGCCAGCTCTATTGTCTTCTCTCAATTCATCTGCTCCACAGAAAGCTAACTTAGTAATTTCTTTTTCGAATTGAATATACGTTCTTTCCCTTTTATTATTATCATTTTTGGAGCATTCAGCATTGAGCGAGTCTACGACTGAAGATGTCGATTTTTTTTATCTTTTTCTTTTCTTATTACTGTCCCCAAATTCGTCATTGTTGATTGCAGTAGGCAAAAAAATGATAAAATTCTTCTGCAGCAAATGTTACAGACTCACTTTCTGGTTAATCTTCAAAACAATATATCTATTAACGTCTAAGAAACTAAAATCAACGTTTTCTTTTCTCTTCAATATTTTCTAATGTAAAATTTAGCATCTCTTTCACATTCAAACTATGTGATGCATTGCATATTTTGAAAAAAATTTCACTGATGTAAGTTTCTTTGCTTGCTATAGCCAGGTTCTGGAATGGAAATTAGAGAAATTGGTGAATGGGGACAGGAAAAACCACGATTGTTATGCATATTTGATATATTTATGCCAAAATATTAGAAATCTGCCAACGGCAATGTTTATATTCTCTTCAATGGAGGCTCAGGGAATTAAGCCTACATCCTCAATCTTCAACACCCTAATATCCACAAGCATATTTTCTGGCAATTTGCTCACAGCATTAAGTCTTTTCGAGATCATGAAGGGTTCGGATGACCACGGCCCTAATTCCGAAACGTATACTATTTTTATTTCGGCATATGCGAATTTGGGAAATAGAAGTGCAACTGAAGCTTGGTTAGCAGCTAAAAGAGCCTCCGGATGTGCTACCGATGTTCAGGAATACGGTTTCCTTGTACAGTGTTGTGTCAAATCAAAAGCTTACGAAGATGCTCAGAGATATTTTGATGAGATGATGTCGGCCGGTTTAATGCCTGATGAACGAGTTCTACAAAACATGCTAATAATGTACTGTCAGCAAAGAAATTTTTGTAGGGTTGAGGAGATGTTGAAGTTTTTAATCCATGGTAGTTTTCGAATTGATTTAGATGTTGCCAAAAGGATTGTTCGTTTTTACTGCGAATTGGGACTGGTTAAAGAGTTAGAAGATTTAATTGTAATTTTTACTGAGTCGGGTCAAGCTCCAGATTTCCTTGCATTGGTTTACTGCTCTGTGATAAGATTGTATGCGGACTTAGATAGATTAGATGATGTTGAGTTTTCAGTTGGGAGAATGCTGAAGAGTGGAATTTCATTTACTTGCAAAGAGGATGTTGAGAAGGTAATTTGTTGTTATTTCAGGAAGGAAGCTTATGATAGGCTGGACTTGTTTCTGGAATGTATTAAAGATTCCTACAAACTGACTCGGCCTATTTATGATTTGTTGTTTGCCGGCTACCGAAGGGCAGGACTGTTGGGAAAATTGGACATCCTTTTGAAACAGATGAAATTAGCTGGGTTTGCATAGTTTGCCTTGAATCATGTGTTCTTAACATTGTATCATGTATTTATTTATATATTTTTTGCTGTTGTTTCCATCAAGTGCAAATGACTGTAATTTGCACATTTCATTTACAAATGAACCAGCTTCTGTACCAGACTATTCTGTATGACTTTTGAGTTCTTTACAACAGTCACCTTTTTATAGAGATTGGTTTGGTAAAGATTTTGAAGTGTATTAACTGAGTTGAAGTTGCTATCCTCGACGCTCAAAGCGCAATTGTAGGGGTGAGCGCGGTTCGAGACGGTTAGGGATTTGACTTGTTCCGGTACTGATTCCACTTTTATGAACCGGAACAAAACGGACTTTTGTTGGGATCGGGACAAAACGGTCCGATACCGGGACAAAACGGGACAAAAATATAAACTAAACCAAAAAGTATTGATTCTATTAAAATTTAAAATAAACAACCAACATATTGATTCCATGATTTCGATTAAAAACAAAAAAAACAAAAAAAAAATACCGATTCAAGTATTCGCTTAACCAAATTACCAAGGAGTATTGATTTCATTATAAGTAACATACCAACCATTGTCACCACTCACCAAAATCTAAGATCTAACATAAACATTGTGTTTAAAACCAAATTACCAAATCCATTGTTTGGTCTTTCTTTTTTTTCTTTTTTTTTTCCTTTTTGGGCTGATAATAATATTCACGTTCCAAGACAATCGCGCCAAAAAATTCTGTCTCCAAAATCAATCTTCCTCCTGAATCTTCTTCCTCGATCCACCTAACTTCCCCACCAAACTTCTGTCAGGAGAACCTGTAGGGCGACCTACGGTGTTAGGTCAACTTGTGAAATAGGATGTGGAGTTGAGTGAGTACACTATTAGATATGAGCACATGCGAGCAATCAAAGCACAAGCGTTGCAGACTTCATTCAGGAATGCACTAAAGTGAGGGGACGAAGTGGATAGCCCACGTGGATGGATCTTCATCAGGCAAGGGTTCAGGTCTCGGGATTGTCTTGGTTAGCCTAGAAGGAGAACAACTCGATTTCGCGATTAGGATGGAATTTAAAGCCTCGAACAATGAAGCAGAATACGAAGCTTTATTAAGGGCATTCAACTTGCTGTTAGTGTAGGAGCTAGTGAGATAATCGTTTATTCTGACTCGCAATTGGTAGTAAGACAAGTGTTGGGAAATTATGAAGGAAGAATGCATGATGAAATATGTGGAAGAAATTCAGGGCTTGGTTCAAAACTTTGAGATGTGCTCCCGAGGAAAATGGAGAATACATCTTAAAAGAAATACATGAGAGATGTTGTGGAGCACATGCGAGAGATCGAGCTATAGAAGGAAAGGCCTTACGAGCTGGATATTATTGACCAAAGATGCGGGCAAAGGCATAAGAGCTAGTACGAAAATGTGATGGATGTCAGCGACATGGACAAACTACTCACCTTCCAGTTGAGAATATGACAACAATCAGTTCCTCAATCCCCTTTGCCCAATGGGGAATAGATCTGGTTGGACCATTTCCAATGGGAACATGACAAAGGAAGTTATTGGTAGTCACAGTGGAATATTTAAGTAAGTGGGTTGAGGCGAAGCTCTTAGCTTGCATTTCTGAGGAAAAAATTATACATTTCATGTTCAACAACATATTCTGTCAATTTGGGATCCCAAAGATATTAATCCCGGACAATGGAACAAAGTTCCAAGGGAAAAAGATACAAGCATGGTGCATGGACATGGGTATTAAGCAAAGGTTTGCTTCAGTGGCCCACCCCCAAGCCAATGGCCAAGTAGAGGTGACGACCAGAACGATTTTGCAAGGGTTAAAGAAAAGATTGGGGAAAGCATCAGGAGCTTGGGTTGATAGAGTTGAGTGCAGTTCTCTGGGCTTACAGAACAACTCCTCGTAACTCGACTGGACAATCACCGTTTAATCTGGTATACGAGATAGATGCTCTATTTCCTGTGGAAGTGGAAATAAACTCCCACATGTTGACTTACTTTAATAGCGAGAAGAACGAGAGGCTGGTCGAAGAGGCTCTGGATTTGATCGAAGGAGGGCAAGAAGAATCTTGGGCGCGAGCCATGGAATACAAATAGAAGATGCGAGCTGCCTTTGATTAGAAGGTCTCCGCAAGGCGCTTTCAGCTGCGCGACTTAGTCCTCAAATACGTGGATGCTCTGAGGCATGTGGGAAAATTAGAAGCAAATTGAGAAGGACCCTATACCGTTATTAAGGTGTTGGAAAGAGGTGCTTACGAGCTATAAGGTGGAGAAGGAAAACAGCTACTGCGATCATGGAATGTGATTCACCTTAAGCATTTTTATGCTTGGAATTATTGTCTAGGTAGAGAGATGATTGTCTTTTGTATTAAGCAAAACATGGACGTTGGCTTTTATTATGAATGTATACACCTCGCAGTTCACAAATTCTTTATCAGAATTTCCTCACATTACCATACGCTGAACGAATATGGCA